TGGTAATTAGATAGAACTCTTTACATAAATATTCTAAAGGCAATATTCTAAAGACTTTGTTATGATCACTTTTTCGTATTTGAAGGAAAAGAACTTTTCAAATGTTAAGGTTTAAAAATGAAAAAACGCATGAATATATATATGTGTGTGAATATAAAGGATATGCATTATCTGAATCTATTGGAGAATTGGCGTCCAAAGGTGTTTCAATAGTTGAATTACTTGTAAACATCGAGAAAAACATATCATATGGTAAAATATATTTTTTTAACAAGATCGATTGTTTAAATAGAACTTATAATTCATAACTCTATATTAATTATATTTGAAAATGAGACCATCTGGTTATATAAATCAATGACAAAATTATTGCCGATAACTGTACCAGGAACTGTTATATTATTATTATGCCCCTAATCCCGCAACAATAGAAAACCGGAATATTCAGGAAGATCAGGTATTAAATATTAACATCAAGGATTTCTATATAACATTTTGTTTTGTAAGACAGTAAAGAAACCATGTTAAATTAACCGGTTTACCAAACATTTTGACAGATAAAGTTTCGTCCATCAGGATTTTGATTTAGTAAATACTTTGTTTTTGCAAATTTATCAGACCGTAGCCTTTTATACATATTCATTTTGCTAATATGTTTTTACATTCCTTCTTTTACTAAATAATTATTTATGCAAAGGATCTAAGGTTATTATAAGATTATTATAAGCCACTTTAGCATTACTAACAAATATTACACTTTTTGTGAAGCTAAGACCTCTTGTTGAATATTATATAAATCAATGACAAAATTATTGCCGACAACTGTACCAGGAACTGTTATATTATATCCTCTAACATTTGGAGCTCCTGCAACGATCGGAGGGTCCCAAAAAACATTTGAAATCGGAATATTCACTTGATAGGCAGGAATACCAGGACCATTACAACCAGTAGCTTGATTACTATTATATTGTAAAGTTCCAAAGTCCCACTATCACATTGCAAAAGTTATATTTTAAGCTCTAAAATGTTTGATCACAAGAAATACCAACAGTGGATCAATCTTACCTTTTGAGTGAATACTCCCGGCAACGTTGGTACTGCCCTACTCACTGTCGGTGGTGCTGGTATTTGACGTGTCCATAGCATGGCCTAATATTAAAAAAAAACTCTTAGAGGTGAACTATGTATAGTATAATGAAAATGATAAAGCAGGTAGCTAGACGTACAATCATTGATCTATGTACTTGGCCTTGATAACTCCTAATAATATCAAGCTTGATACCAACTACACATCGGACATATTGTTCACGCATCCAATTTTCACATCTTCTATTCCAGGTAGCGATGTTTTGAGCGTTGGCTATCTCACAGATGATTCTCGCGTGAGGAAGACCCTATGTAAGTATATTATAATATTAGGAAAGTGAATCAAAAATAAATATTGTGATAATATATACAAACTCAAAGTACATTTGTGTCACTGGGGGGAGGACCAGGATGCAAAACGCCAGGTCGTGGAACATAAGCAATATTTGGATAAACCGCAACGTCTGGTGCCATTTTTTCCGTAATGTTAATTGGGTTGTAGTGAACTATAGGAAAAAATGTGAATTGTTATTACAAGCCAAAGACCAAGCAGACTAAACGGAAATCTCTTACATGGTTGGCCGCAAACTTTTATCGGACCACATATTGCATTATTATTTGGAACTCTAAAACATTCTTGAAGCACTGATATAACATATTCATGATCTGAGTTAGCCATTTCAATAATATATACGTTTCCTTTGTTCCAATAAAATTTGTATCCGGTTGATTCGTTGCGGTCAAGAAAAGCATTATAATCTTTGACTGAAACTTTTGACCCAATCTGAAATGGTAAACTGTAGACCATACGAGTCAGCATTGAACAGATCTTAGAGAAACCTGCGTGAATCACACTCACTCACCTTTCTTCTCCTAAGAGAAATTTTGGTAGTTCGGGATAATTATGGATTATGTTATCAACTTTATTCCGAATTTTCTTTACTTTCTTTACCGCTGATTTCCAACCAGAGTTTAAAGCAGACATTTTGAGAGAGTGGTTTTGAAATTATGTAAAAAATTAATCAATCAATGTGATGATTCATCGGTGTTTAAATTTCAATCAGGGTGTATCACGTTACACGGTCTGTTTGCACATTTATTTTTTTTAAAAAAAAATATATATCTGTTCGTTTCACAATGATTTTTTTTTGTGATACCGCTAAAATTATTTTCTATCGTTATTTATATACGTGGGGTGTCTGAAAAGTTTTGAGAATCGATTTTTATTTAACTAAATTACATTTTGATTTTTTTAAAAAACTATTGCATTCCTTCAAAGTACTCTCCATTAACGTCTATGCAAAGTTTCAGCCACCTTTGCCATTCCTGGAAAGAGTTTTGATATTCATCATTTGTGACATTATCAGTAATTGCCTGAACAGCATGTGCAAGATTTTCTATACTATCAAAACTTTTTCCACCCAGTTCTTTTTTGATTTTAGGGAACAGAAAGAAGTCACAGGGTGCTAAATCTGGACTATAGGGAGGGTGGGGTAGTATTCTAACCTTATTTTTGCTTAAATATTCATCAATGACTTTAGATTTATGTGGCGCAGCATTATCATGGTGAAGCAACAAGTGTTTCACAGTTCTTCTATTTGTAATTTGCTTGAAATTTTCAAATACTTTTGGGAGAACATGATTGGCATAATACTTCCCTGTTATGTTTTGACCCTTTGGAACAACAATTCTTGCTATAATTTCCATCAATTGAGAAAAAAACACAAAACATTTGTTTCTTACTGTTTCATGCTGTTCATGTTATTTGCGGCCTGTCTTCCCCAATTTTTACCCATGATTTATTAGATTCTTTGCTAGATACAGTGAAATAATTTATCCAAGTTTCATCACCAGTAACTATATTTTGAAAACCGCACTCAAAAATTTCAAGAAGTTGCTTAGAAATTTCAACTCTATTTTTTTTGTTTTCTTCTGTTAAAACATGTGGAACCCATTTTGCACAAACTTTATGAAGGCCAAGTTCATCATGTAAAATATGTCCAATCCTTTCTTTTGAGACTCCAACTTCCTCTTCTATTCTTCTAATAGGCATATGCGGGTCTTCATTAATAAGCTCTTCAATTTTAGCAATTGTTCCTTGTGTGACAGCTTCATGGGGACGACCAGATCAAGAAGCATCTTCAATACTATTTTCACCTTCTTCAAAAGCTTCAATCCATCGATAAATTGTGCTTAATGATAGTGCTTTGGACCCTTCAGCAACCTCTAACTCTTTATGAATTTGGGATGGTTGTTTTCCATTTTTCCAGCTTACAAAAATGTAGTATTGTTGGTGTTCACGTGTTGAATTTTCCATTTGTTTTTATTGACAATGTTTGAAATTTGATATTTCTGGAACTATTGAACCAAAATAAATAATTTTTTTTTATTTGAAAGATGAAGACTGTGGCTTTTATTTAAAAATAATTTTAGCTTCATTGACTTGAAGAACGTAACGTTACACGGCTTTTGTCAAAACTTTTCAGACACCCCATGTAATATTAATAATAAAACCTTTTTCTTATTGTATATGGTTTCTCCGATAAGAAGAAATACTAATGAAACTTGAAAAGGACAAAAGAATGGAAGGTTTATTGTCTTATCAGTAATAATATCAAAACTCATATGTTATGGAACTTGAGATTTTTACAATCTCCGAGATCGTTGAAATTTGTCTTATTTTTCATTCTACAAAAAGCGATCGCCAGAATGAAAGGTTTAATTTCCCATAAAAGGTGAAATATATATTAGATGCTTGGCACTTGTGATTCTAAAAGACCTGCCTTACGAAGAAAGATCTAGCGAATAGTCAGGGTAACGTAATTACTAATCATGTATTTTTTCTTCTAACAGGTTCTCAGATTTGGCAGAATGAAACACTATAAATAAGCCAGATTTGTGAGGCATCATTTCTTATCTTCCTGCAATTTTTATAAGGTAATATTTGGTTCATTGTACATTATTCGCAATAAGGGCTTTATTCATGAAAAACAAATTTTTACTCATTATAGAACTTTATATTAGGAAACGCAAAATGACCAATCCTATTAGTCTCAAGTGTCATTTTCCAGACAGTAAATATTTTGATATTGAAATATGTAAGGAAGATAAGGTTGCTACGCTTAAAAAAGCAATTAAATGTCTGTTGGAAAATCAAGGTCACCAAGAGCTTTCTACTGATTTCAATCTCTATGCAATTATTCCTATTCCTATGGAATCAACAGCTGAGATTTCTGAATATTTCAATGCTATTCCCGTTACCTGACTAAATCAAGTTAACCTTCTCATCAAACCAAAGTAATAATTATTTTTTTTTTATTTACATCTGCAGTATGTAACTGCAATATGATTTTATTTTATTTTTATGTCTTTACTTCAGTAAAGTTTTTATTTCATACAATAAAGCAAGGTTCTATGTAACCATTTGTCTCGATCAGAATTATGTGGATGTCCATGTTTTATTTTCATCAAAATCGTGTGTGCATTATAATTTGTAACACTGATCACTTTTGACAAGAAAAAAAAATTTGAATGTCTCAATTACTATACATAAGATATGTCTCAAAAATCTAAGAATAACAGACGCAAAACTCAAGGTAGATTTACTACAAATCCTACAATTTCAAAACCAGGATAAATATGATCACATTATTCATGAGGGCCATATAACTATCATAAATAAGAAGACACAAGATGTAAATGAGGTATTTGATTATGGAGAGGTATGTAGATATCTCAAAGCAAATAATCTCGATTCGAATATTCTCAATATGTAGTGGAAAATTATCGGATTATGTGTAATAATTAATTAGCTTGTTTTTTTCAAATGTTTGTATAAAAACTTTGGCCATCTGGTTGATTTTATTGATACAGGAATACATAGTAATAGCACAAGATGCTCATGTTAATAATCAATTATCTTCTCGATATGAGGACACTGTAGAACTTCGTTTTTTTTGATGCTCTGATTTAGCCTCTGGTGCATTCATCAGCAAAGAAATGTTGACAATTAGGTTATTCTATATAATTGAGTAAATAATTTAATCAAATACCATTGCAATTCTGGTCGGAAAAATTAAAAAAATTAATACCCGTAAAATTAATAATGCCTCCACAAACTGTGATACACCTTCTTCATCAACCAGTTGTATTGGGATTTCAACAGAACGTAAATGGTAGAGACAATTAATATCATCTGTATCTTTGAGGAGAACGTTTAGATGCAACATCCTACCAGTGACTTGGATTCCAACGACCCCAAACTCATTTTTATCAGGCTTGCAACCTCCATGAATGTAAGCCATCCCATCATTCATTTCTCTCCATAGCTTCACCTTGTCATTCTCCTTTTTGTCATCATTACAAATTATGCGTGAGCATTCTACAAACATAAGTTCATATAACTTTTCTTTACTTGCAGTCATAAACATAACATCAGGATGTTTTCCCTGCTTCCTCTCATCCATTCTGTCTGCGCTAGCCACGCTCTGTCGCTCTGCACTAAATAGAAACAAACTTTCTAGTAATGCCACAATTAAGAGATTTATTCTAGTTATAAATTCAATCAAACTTATGTGCTAAGTAAATTGATTTTTCCGACCGGAAGATTTTTCAATGTTGACTGTAAAAGCAGAACTACCACGTCAGTCACATATGTACCTTCACTCTGCATATTTACAAAGTTAGGTCTAAAGGCTGGATTCTTCCACACATCACCTCTACGAGAAAAAAGAATTAGCACAAAAATAATGAAGTAGTTTCTATGATAAGAATTACATACAAAGCTCTGAGGATCTCTTCTACAATTCCTACTAGATCTTCTTCCAACTCCTTCCAAGTATTGTTATGCCTATACTTTAGTGATAAACCATTTAAATCATCATTGCTGAAATTTTCCACAAACTCGGTACACTTGTTTCGGATTACATCAGGCATAACTAATTGCATATGCTGTGCTGGTCTCATGAAGGACAGATGTGCGGGCCCTTCCAACCCTTTCACCAAGTTTGAATCGTCACTAATTACTTGACTTGCGATTGGATCTCTCCATGTCAGATCAGAATCAGATATTTCAATTAAATTTAAACATATTTCTCCAGCATGTGGGGATGTACTTCTCTATAAAATGATAGAAGATTGGGTTACAAAGATTTCAATCAAGGAGAAAGTTTGACAAATAATTACCATGAGTTTCCTCCTCAAATCACCCATATTTTTCTTGATTTCTTTCTCACTGAGAGGTTCCACCACCATCTCCATATCATGAAGGCTACAAACTCCTCCAAAAGCATCATCAAACTGGCACAGAAAAAAATATTATACATTAGTCTTTGATGTTACAATATGAGGCTTTTAATAGCACGAGCTCGTGTCATCAGAATGTTATCACAGAGTTGCCATTTCTGTGTGGCCTACACATCATAAACAACTCCATTTTCCACATATGAACTTTAAGAGCTCGTAAGACTAGAGTCAGAGTACCCCCCATACGTCCATGGAGTTGAATTCCAGTACTAGCAGGCATTGGATACACAGAGTTGCCACCATGCTTTGTTCGTGGAGTTGAATCCAGTACTAGCTGGTTTGATAGGTTCCCCCATTGGCTAAAGCCTACACGAGTCTAAAAATACAATGATATTCTCACTACATCGGGAATGCACCAATCATCATATGCCACAAAAGACTTATCTTTAAAACTTAAAATTAACCTGCACAGAAATTGTGTAAAGTTTATTTTGTGCAGAAATATCTTGAGAATAGTTATTTATTGCTAAAGTGACAGCATTATTTACAATATTTCTTAATATTTCTCGTTGAATCCATGGGTCTTCTTCCATGACTTGATAGATGACAGAAAAAGCGGTAATATGTTCTAATGGGGATGTTGTAAGAAAGTTAAAAAAATTTTCAGATAAATAGCTAGACATTTTTACATAGTTATATTGGTTTGAAGTATAAAAAATATATTAGTGTTAATACGATATACAAGAAGCAAAATCACTATAAAGCAATAAATATTTATAACTCGATATACTGCCCTTTTTAAACGTTTTCCTTCTATATCTTCCTCTGGATCTATCAAATGAATAATAATACAGCAATGCAAATGTATTTACACCAAAAAAATTCCCTTACAAAGAAAAAGTATGTACATGAGGTAATTAATCGAATTTGGTTAATCGCACAAATAAATCATGCATGCATTATCTTTCTGTGTATCGAGAATCTAAAAATAATTTTTGTTGCACAGCCCCAATGATGTCACATGACATACCCAATTATCTGATCGATTATGTGGATAGACTATTTCTTCTTTATGATTAGAAAAATATGGAAAAGACACTCAACTATTCATACCCACGTTTAAGAAAGATCCCATAAAATATATGTATGAACTTCCTTCCAATTTTTACAAAGTATGGTCAGGGAATTTATTGGAGGTAAGTACATGCTTATTTACTTTAAGAATGTCAAGGAAGTTAGAACGCAATTATAGACTTGTATTCCCAGAGGTTCAGTCAATAAATTTCAAAGGTATAAGATCAGTAAAATGTTTATGGGGAATCATGAAAAGCTGTAGAATAATAATGTCATATAAAACGAGATGGAAAAATGGAGATTTAGACATGACATTGGGTTGTACAATAGACTATGTAGATCAAAACTAATTGACATCATATATAAAATTTACTAATTAACTTTTTTTCAACAAATATAAAAA